TGAACACTATAGGGGTTGAAGAAATTGATGATGGAGGTCAATCAATCCGACCAATGCCAACCTTAGCTAGTGCAAGTACAATTATCCCGCCCGGCTCACGGTTAATACATTGGGAGACACCTTTGATCTAGATCAACTCATACGCAAGTTCATCTAGGAAGAAAGTTGCACAATTGGTTTGATGAAGAAGCACCTTCGATCTTTAAGACTAAGTAATTTTCTTATCATTTTTGTTTTTTATTCTTTAAACATTATAGTATACTAAATGTATACTACTTGATGTTATTTTTCATAAAAACATTAATTATTGGATTGCGTAAAATTTGTTTAAGTTTTAGCCTTTTCCTTCTTCTATTCTTTTTTATTTTCACTTTGATTCATTTCAAGGACAATCAATATGATCACTTCTTAAAAAACCAAAACAATTCTCCTAAAAATATATGGCCTAATTTTGATGAAACCTTAATTACAATGGACAAAAAAAATGGGATGACAATGATATTCGAGAATTCACTAAGCTAGTTAAGCAATCAAAATGGTCCCTTCAGTCGCACGAATAGGATTTAGAGGTAATAAATGTAGGGACCAAGGAGAATAGGAGGGAGCTAAAGATAGGCACCCTAATAGAGAGTATAGAAAAAAGAGATTGATGGCACTCGCTAGGAGAGTATGCGAGATGTATTTGTATGGTCGTATGCTAATATGCCGAGTTTAGACACCGACATAGTGGAACACGGACTACTCGTTGAACCTAGAGAGCAAGCGAGTGAAACAAAAGTTGAGATGAACAAGGCTAGATATTCTACCGAAAGTCAAAGATGAGATAAAGAAGCGGTCGGATCGTTGGATTTTTAGAAGTGGTTGAGTACCCTCAATGGGTGTCAAACATTGTCGTCATGGGGAAGAAAGATGGTCAAATTGAAGTGTGTGTGGACTTTTATGATTTGAATAGAGCCGGTCCGAAGGATGATTTCTCACTCCCCCATATTGATGTCTTAGTGTACAACGCATCAAGGAATGCAACTATTCATTCATGGATGGTTTTTTAGGATATAACCGGATCAAAATAGCCATAAAGGACAAGGAGAAGATACTTTTATCATACCTTAGGGGACCTTCTACTATAAGGTTATGCCTTTTGGTCCGAAGAATGCAGGAGCTATCTATCAAAGGGCCATGGTCACACTCTTCTATGACATGATGCACAAAGACATCAAAGTGTATCTAGATGATATGATTGCAAAGTCAAAGGAAGGCGAAGATCATACTCCGACATTAAGGAAGCTCGTTGAGAAAATGAGAAGGTACGGATTAAAGTTGAATCTCACAAAGTGCATATTTGGTGTAAAGTCGAGAAACCTACTAGGGTTTGTGGTACGCAACGAGAGGAATTGAAGTTAATATAGATAAGGTTAAGGCAATCCAAAGCATGCTCGCACCTTCATCCGAGAAAGAGATTAAAAGTGTTTTGGGTCGTTTGAACTACATAGCTCGGTTCATATCTCCGTTGTCCACGACATGTGAACCAATATTTTGATTATTATGATAGAAGAATCCTGTGGTATGGGACCAAGATTGTCGACTAGCCTTTGATAAAATCAAGCGATACTGCAGAATCCACCGTTGTTGGTACCACTAGTTCTTGAGAGGCCTCCGATACCGTACTTAATCGTGACGAGAGGTGGTCGTGGGTTGTGTCCTAGGCCGGTGTGATGAATCAAGAAGGAAAGAGCAGTGCTATCTACTACTTGAATAAAACGTTCACTAATTATGAGTCCCGGTATAGTGTGCTCGAGAAGATATGTTGTGGCCTAGTATGGTGTGCAAGAAGGCTTAGACGAGTACATGCTTTATTATACCATATGATTGATTTCAAAGATAGATCCACTCAAGTACATTTTTGAAAAGCCATACTTATCTAGCCGTATTGCACGATGGCATGTTATGTTGTTTAAGTATGAAATTATGTATATGATGAGAAAGGGAGTAAAAGGAAGTGTCATAGCCGATCAACTGGCGTACGAGTGTAACCGATGACTATGAACCTTTGAAAGTTATCTTTCCATATGAGTCAATTATTGCCATAAATGAAGAATCTAAGTCCGGAACTAGCAAATGGACCATGTATTTCGACGGGGCAATCAATGTGAATGGAAACGATGTTGGATCATCTCACCGGATGGAAAGTAGTTCCCATGGCCGTGAAATTACAATTTGAAAGCACAAACAACATAGTAAAATATGAGGCATGCGTGCATAGGTTAAAAGTAGCCTTAGAAACACGAGATCCAAAGGTTAGATATGTATGGTGATTCATTAGTGATAATCTATCAAGTCAAAGGAGAATACCGGACAAAAGATGAAAAGTTGAAGTCGTATCGGAGTACTTAACAAAGCTAGCCGATTGTTTTGATGAGATAGAGTTCACTCATTTAGGTCGAGACAAGAACCACTTCGTCGATACCTTGGCAACACTAGCCGCAATGACGAAGATAGCACATGGTATAAAGGTTTACCCCATATGCATTGAACTCGAAATGCCTTGACCCACTCGTGTTGTCCGATCGAGGTTAAGCTCGATGAAAAGCCATGGTATGAAGATATCAAACAATTCATAAAATGTCAAGAATACCCATCATATGCTTCAAAGACTGATAGGAAGACACTTTGGAGATTATCAATGGATTTTTACTTAGACGGTGAGGTGTTATAGAAAAGAAGTTTTGATGGAACTTTACTATGGTGTTTAGACTCCGTCGAAACTAAGAAGGTGATTAAAGAGGTTCACGAGGGGATTTATGGAACCCATGCCAACGGACGGATGATGGCTCATCAAATTTAGAGGTGTGGTTATTTTTGAAATACCATGGAAAGGGATTGCATAGACTATGTGTGGAAGTGCCACAAATGCCAAATCTATACGGACTAGATAAATACTCCTCCCGCACCCCTCCATAACATGGTATCTCCTCGGCCGTTCTCAATGTGGGGAATGGATGTGATTAGGCCGATAAACTCGAAAGCTAGTAATGGTCATCGCTTCATCCTAAGTAGCAATTGATTACTTTACTAAATGGGTGGAAGCAACATCCTTCGCACATGTTACCTAGAGAGTTGTCCGTCGATTTGTGCGTAAAGAAATCATTTGTCGATATGGGCCTTCGGAGACCCCGATCACGGATAATGCCTAAATTTCAATGGCAAGATGATTACGGAATTATACGAATAGTGGAAAATCAAGCACCATAATTCTTTGCCATATAGACCCAAGATGGATTGGGGCATGGAAGCTACAAATAAGAACATAAAAAAAATCATACGGAAAATGGTAGTCACGTACGGAGACTAGCATCAAGTGTTACCGTTTGCATAACATGCTTATAGGATGGCAATGAGGACGTCAACCGGGGTAACTCCGTACTCGTTGGTATATGGGATGGAAGCAAGTGATGCTTATGGAAATAGAGATACCATCTCCGAGGGTGTTAAAAGAATTAAAGCTAGATGAGTTTGAATGGGCCCGAATTAGATATGAACGACTTCAATTTGATTAGTGAGAAAATGTTAGTACCTATTTGTCATATGTAGTTGTATCGAAAAGAATTGCTCGAGTGCATGATAAGAAAGTCCGTACAAGAACTTTTGGTGAAGGGGATTTAGTCTTGAAGAGAGTACTCCGATCTCGGGGGTAGAAAGAAGTAAGTGGGCACCCAATTAAGAGGGTCCGTATGTGGTGAAAAGAGCATTCTCTAGGGGAGCCCTCCTCTTGATGAAGATGGATGGTGAGGTCTTGCCGAAGCTCGGTGAATTCGACATTGTAAAGAAATATCATGCTTGAGCATGCAAAATTCTTCTTTGTTACATTGCAAAAAGGAAATAATCAAAATTATGTTGAATATATTCTAGTTTAATCGTATTACTTTTGCTTCTCTTTTCTTTCTTGCCCACCCCATATAAACTATTCCCGACTTTTTCATTATCTATCAAAATAACCCTCTCTATCATAAGGTGATCAGTCCCCGAAAGATGAACAAGAAATTTTTATTAGTCTCATACGCAATCTCATGCTTAATGTTATTTATGAAAAATGATAACACAAAAGAGGCCAAATGATAAAAATGATAGGAATTTTATTCATCCTTGGTAGATGAAAAGGCTTTTTCATTAACTCTTTGCATAAGAAAAAAAAATGGTGAATAGCCGATGACGATGATCGGACGTTACCTTGATTGTTTCGTAGTACACCCCATCAATATGCAATGGCAAGGAATAAAGCATTTGGTAATGACGGTCCAAACATGCGCGTAGAAAGTCGGTCGATAAAAAAAAGATTCGGGAGACGTATGATTAAGTAGATAAAAACTCATAAGAGCAACAGACCTAGAAATCACAAACCTAGCCCAATGAAGATGTATCACGATCGGGAAGGAAGTGTATGTTTTGGCAAGTAACAATTTTTGCATTTCGTGTACATCGCTCACACTCTAGTGCATTGCCATTGGAAAGTCACCTGTTGGACCATGAGGATGGTCACCGCGTCAACTTGTGTTTAGAGAAGGCCTTTGAATGGACGTTGCCAATTGATTTGTGACCCTTCAATGATTTTCTTTCCAAGCTCACTATGCAAAGCCAAAGAAAAGTTAAATTTTCAATGGCTTCACATCATAAGCATTGTAAAGAGGGAAAACCGTTAACACCCAATTTTGGGTCAAAAAAAACGAAGAAAAAGAACAAAAAAGAAAAAGAAAAAGGAAGTAAAATATATATATATATATATATATATATATATATATATAGGAGTGCAATTGAAGAAGCAAAATAAAGTTGGTTTTTAAAATGAGGGACCAAAACGATTTTTACCAAAACAAAAGCCCTATAAAGCTAGTATAAAAGCCCTATTTTCTCCCCCAAAAAAGGCCAACTACTGTTCACCCCCTAAAAAAGGAACCCTAGCCGCTAACCCTCTTCCATTAACACTAGTAGCCACCTCCTACACATAGCCATCTCCCCACGCCAACAACCACTCCTTCCACTCCACCGGCCCCATTAGCCTCTCCCACCGAAGCACTCATACAGTGTCTACTACACCTCCACATGCCGGCAGCCCCTACGCCGGACGCGTAGCGCCGGCCCATGCACTAGCCTACCGCAAGCGCCTCGCCCCAACGAGCAGTATGCCAATGCCGGCGCCAACGCCGACGAAGCATGCTAGCACACCGACGGCGTGCCACCGTCGATGCTAGCAAGCATGCCATCGGCATACCAATAGCACGCCGGTAGCGTGCCGGCACTAGCGCTAGTAGCACATTTGCAGCCCACCACCCGCAGTAGGCCTTCCCACACTCGCCGGCGAGTCACCTTTCCTCCTCGGTTGACTAAATATTAGTGTCCATCAAGGTCGAAAAGGTTGGATTGACCTTAAGATCATCAAGCAAATCAGCTCGTATGGTGACTAAATATTAAATTTTCTTCATGTTGATATGTGTCATGTAATTAATTTGATCTCGTTTGTTTATATGTAATTTGTTAGAATTACGATAATATGCATTGCTAATTTTACGAGTATGATGCGTCGGTTTGAGCATTTGAATATTTGTTGTTCGAAATATATATTTTAAGGGTGTGTCTCGTATGATGATTTTATAAAAAACACACATGTCAACTCGAGCAAGTTTGAAATGTTGCCATATAACTTCATTTTTGTTAAGCATGCTAAAGTAATTAATTTCATCGATTTGTATATTTTCTCCGATTTCGGTCCTATTGTCGGTTCTCGTTAATTTTTTCCTATGTGTGCTCATTTTGTTTGCCAATTTTAGCATATTTTAGCCAAAGCCGTCACTTTTCATTTTTTGTTGTCGATTTTAGGCAAAGTTGTAGCTTTCATTTTTCATTGTCGATTTTGGCTAAAGCTCGTAGCTTTCGTTTTTTGTTGCCGATTTTAGCCAAAGCTATGACTTTCATTTTTTGTTATCGATTTTAACCAAAGTCGTGGCTTTCATTTTTCATTACCGATTTTAGCCAAAGCTATGGCTTTCGTTTTTTGTTGTCAATTTTTGCCTCTTTTTGCCTACGTTGTTGATTTTCGTATATTTTTGCCTAAGTTATCGATTTTCACTTGTTTTTGCCTAATTTGTCGATTTTAGCCTATTTTAGCCTATTTATGCCCAAGTAGCTGACTTTTGCTAGTTTTTGCCTAAGTTGTCGATTTTTGCCTATTTTTTGCCTAGGTTGCTGATTTTTTTCTATTTTTGCCTAAGTTGCCGATTTTGCCTATTTTTACCTAAGTTGTTAATTTTTGCTTGTTTTTACCTATGTTGTCAACTTTTATTGTTTTTTTTTTATTTGTTTCACCATCATTTCTAGCCATCCATTATAGAGTGAGGACGATATCTCCGATCGATCGAATCCCGAATCACTCGACTAGGGGCATTTTCATAAAAAATCGAAATCGAACCATTGTTACATGCGATGTAGCTTGCCTTAGGCAAGATGGGGTAGGGTGACTTTTGATCTTCCCTACACATAATAAACCTTTCACTCGAAACTCCGAATAGACCAGTCACGAGGTTTCCTAGTTACCGTAATACTAGGTGGCGACTCCAATCATCCGCCCTACATTTCACCTCACCGCCCGACGTCACCCCGCAACATCATTCTCTCTATCTCTTGCTGCCTTCCTCTCTCTCTCTCTCTCAACCTTTTTCTCTCTCCCTCTCTCACTCATTTTCCCTTTCTCTTTCTCTTCCTCTCTCCCCCTCCCTCCCTCTTTCCCCCACCTTCTTTCTATCTCTCTTCCTCTCATTCTCTCTCTTTCTCTCCATTATCTCCCTCACTCTCCCTCTCTCTCACTCTCTCTCTCTCCCTTCCTCTCTCCCTCCCCCAATATATCTTCATTTCTCTCTCTTGATCTTGTTCGTCTCCCTCCCTCCCTTTCTCCATCTATCCCTTTTTGTCACTAAGGAAAGGAAGAGATAGTGAAGGAGAGAGAGCAGAGAGAGGGAGAGGGAAATAAAAGGAGGCAAAGAGGGAGAAAGAGAGGGAGGGAGAGAAAGACATAGGGAGAGAGAGGGAAAGAGATAGAAAGGGCAAAGAGGGAGAGTGAGAGAGGGTGAAGGAGAGAGAGGGGGAAGGATGGAGAGGGGGATAGAAGGAGAGAGGGAGAGAGAAAGAGAGAGATAGGTAGAGAGAAAGAGAGAGATAGGTAGAGAGAAAGAGAGAGATAGGTAGAGAAGGGAAGAGAGATGGGAGAGTGAGAGAGGTAGAGAGAGATAGCAATAGAGTTTAAGAGGTAAAGAGATGGAGAGGGAGAAAAAAGAGAGATAAAGGAACATGGAGAGGGCGAGGGTAAGAGATAGGGGAGAGAGAGGGAGAGAGGGATGATGAGAGAGAGAGAGTAAGAGAGATAGAGAGGGAGCGAGGTAGAGAGGGGGAGAGGAAAGTGGGAGAGAGATAAAGAGAGCAAGAGGGTGAGGGAGAGAGAGATAAAGAGATATGGAGAAAAGGATAGGGAGAGAGGGAGAGAGAGATATGGAAAGGGATAGTCCGGGAGAGGGAGAGAGAAGTAAAGAGAGGGAGAGGGAGGGGAGAGCATGAAAGAGGGAGAGAGAAAGAGAGAGGGAGAAAGGGAAGGAAGGATAAAGCGAGAGACTAGGAGAGAGGAAGGGAGGGGGGAGGAGATAGGAGGAAAGAGACAAAAAGAGAGGGAAAAAAAGGGAAAGAGGGAGAGAGAGGGATAGGAAGAGTGGGAGATGGAGGGAGAGAGAGAAGGAGAGTTTAAGAGGGAGAGAGGGAGGGAGATAGAGAAGGAGAGAGAGAAAGAGAGAGAGAGAGAGAAAGAGAGGGAAAGAGAGAGGAAGAGGGAGAGAGAGGTAGAGAGGGAGAGAGACAAAGAGACAGATAAAGAGCGAGAGAGAAAGATAGTGTGGAGAGAAAAAGAAGGAAAGAGAATGGGAGAGAGAGGGAGAGGAAAAGAGAGGAAGGTAAAGAAGGAGAGAGAGTGAAAGAAAAAGAAAGAGAGAGAAATAAAGAGAGAGGGAGAGGAAGAGAGATAAAGAGAGGGTAAAGAGAAAGGGAGGGAGAGAGGGAGGGAGAGGGAGGGAGAGGGAGAGATACCGAGAGGGATAAAAGGAGAGAGGGAGAGAGAGGGAGAGAGGTAGTGAGAAAGAGGAGGAGAGAGAGGGGAAGGGATAGAGACAATAGAGAAAGGTAGGGAGAGGGAGGAAAAGAGAGGGAAAGACGAAGAGATTAGGAGACAAGGAGAGATAAAGGTGGATGGTGATAGAGAGAGAGAGTGTGGGATAGAGAGGGAGAGATGGAGAGAGAGAAAGAGGAAGACCGGGAGAGGGATAGATAGGGAGAGAGGAAGGGAGAGAGAGAGAGTGAGAAAGAGGTAAAGGGAGAAGGAGAGAGGGAGAGGGAGAGAGAAAGAGAGAGATTGAGAGTGAGAGAAGGAGAGAGGGGGAGATTGGGATTGAGAAGGAAAGTGAGAGAGAAAGAGAAAAGAGAGAGAGAAAGAGAGAAGTAAAAGAGAGAAGGGAGAGAGATTGAAAGGGATAGAGGGAAAAAGAAGGAGGGAGAGGGAGAGGGAGAGAGAAAAGGAGATAATGGGAGAGAGTGGGAGAGAAAAAGGGAGAGGGAGAGAAAAGGGAGAGAGAGAAGGAGAGGAGACGAGGGAGAGAGAGGGAGAGAGGCAAGGTGTGAGAGATAATGGTGAAGTGGGTGAAGGGGATAGATAGTGAGAGAGAAAAAAAGGGGGTGAGAGTTTAAGAGAGAGAAGAAGATGGAGAGGGAGGGAAAGAGTAGGAGGGATAAAGGGAGAGATGGAGAGAGAAATAGAGGTAAGAGAGAGAGAGAGAGAGAGAGAGAGAGAGGGAAATAAAGATGAAAAGAAAAGGAGCGAGAGAGGGAAAGGGAGATAGAGTGGAAAAGAGAGTGTGACCCTCGTAAAGTCCTTAACCATATCAATATACATACAAGGATATTCATATGTACATACATTGAGCAAGGGTGTGATTTATGTGCCATTTAAATGTTTTGGTAATATTATTATGCTTGGTGTTTATATGAGGAATTAGGAGATGAATTTTTAGGTAACTTAGCTAATTACCATTCATTTTCTCTAGTATATATATGGAACTTATTATACAAGTGAGAAAGGTATTTTAAAAGGTGGGGAATGTTGAAAAAATATTGGGAAGGAAATTGCCGAATTATTAGGTAGGAAATTGCTAAATTAATTATTTAGGGAGGAATTGTTGAATTTTTCTAGGAAAGAAATGTCATGTTACTTGAACTAAACTAGCTTAAGGGACTTAGTTAGCCTATTCACCATCATTAGAAAATAATTAGACACCTAAGACTTCATTTAATGCAACGGAAGCCAACTCATTCCTTTGACTAAGCCAAACCCACCACTTGTCCCTCTTAGTCACCATTTACTTTACACTTGATAAATTAAATCAAGACATATGTAAACTAATCAAAATGCAAGGAAATGGAGCATGTATATATATAAGGAAAGAGATTACATGACTACATTTTTGGTGAAATTTGTAGCTCACCTAAAAGAAGGAAAAAAAAACGTCATTGAGAGGGAGAGAAACATGAAAAAGAAAGAGAGAAAAAGAAAGGAAAGAAAGAAAGGAGAAAAAGAAGGAAAAAGCTAGAGAAATCCTTAACAAACCTAAACTAAGTAAATGGGTTTTTATCTATGTCATCTATTTGATTCTTAAATGTTAATTTATGTAATTGATCATGTTGTGTTGGTATTATGTTGGATGGCTTGATATATAATTGTTGGATGTTATGGAACTTGTAAGGAATGGTTGATATGTTGCGTATTAAGTGTGGAAAGCCCCGTGCATGGCTATGTTTGTGTATTGATAGGTTTGATTGAAAGAATTGGGGCTTGACTGAAACTTGGTGGATTAAACTAGGATTGATATGAACTTGGACAAAGTAAAATAGGAAGGAAAAAAATAAATTTTAGGGTTTTTTCTAAGGTGACTTTCGGCCAAAATGGGAAAGATGGAATCTTTTTTATACTTAAGGACTCAAATTTTAATGGTGAATAAATTAGGTTTGATTAATCATTTTGAAAAAAAGGAAACTTCATATCGAAGCAAAGAAGATTTCTTGCAAAATTAAGAGACCCATTCGGCCCAAACTTAGAAAAATGGGGTTTTGGGTTCCATTAAATTAATTTGGTACTTAATGGTTCAATTAGGTCC